CTTTCTAGCACGCGGCGTGTAGCGGGGCTAGGCTCCTTCCTAGCAAGGGCGTTGTAGCGGCGGAGGCCTCCTTGCCTAGCAAGGTGTGTAGCCGGGGAGGGCCGCCTTCCCCCCCCTTGTACCCACCCCGCCCCCTCCCCTCCGCCCCCTAGCAACGGTGGGGCCATCGTTGCTGTATGCGGAGCGAGGCCCCTCCGTTCCTAGCAAGGTGCGTGTAGCGGGGGTAGGACTCCTTCCTAGCGAAAGGGCCGTTGTAGCGGGGAGGCTCCTTCCCTAGCAAGGGGTTTAGCGGGCGAGGTTCGCGTCATACGCCTAGCAACGGGCGTGTAGCCGGGGGAGTGCTCCTTCCTAGCAATTGCGGCTGTAGCCGGGGAGCGCTCCTTCCATAGCAAGGGCGCTGGTAGGCGCGGAGGCCTCCTTCCTAGCAAACGGAGCGTGTGCGGGGAGGCTCCTTCCTAGCAAGGGCGTGTAGCGCGGGAGGTCCTTCCTTAGCAAGGCGATGTGCGGAGCAGGCGCTCCTCCTAGCAAGCGGCGCGTGTAGCGGGAGGCTCACGCCTAGCAAAGGGCGATGTAGCGGGCGAGGCTCACGCCTAGCCACGGGCGCCTGTAGCGGGAGGCTCCTTCCTAGCAAGGGGCGTGTAGCGGGGGAGGCCTCCTTCCTAGCAAGGGCGTGTAGCGGGGGAGGCTCCTTCCCTAGCAAGGGCGTGTAGCGGGGAGGCTCCTTCCTAGCAAGGGGGTTGTAGCGGGGATGGCTCCTTCCTAGCAAGGGCCGTGTAGCCGGGCAGGCTCCTTCCTGCAAGGGCCGTGTAGCGGCGGAGCCTCCTTCCTAGCAAGGGCGTTGTAGCCGGGGGTATGGCTCCTTCTAGCATAGGGCGTCGTAGGCGGGCGGAGGCCTCCTTCCTAGCACAAGCGTGCTAGCGGGGCAGCGCCCTCCTTCCTAGCAAGGGCGTGTAGCGGGGAGGCTCCTTCCTAGCAAGGGCGTGTAGCGGGGAGGCTCCTTCCTAGCAAGGGCGTGTAGCGGGGAGGCTCCTTCCTAGCAAGGGCGTGTAGCGGGGTCAGGCTCCTTCCTAGCAAGGCAGTGTTAGCCGGGGCAGGCCTCCTTCCCTAGCAAGCGGCGTTAGCGGGAGGCTCCTTCCTAGCAAGGGCGTGTAGCGGGGAGGCTCACGCCTAGCAAGGGCGTGTAGCGGGGAGGCTCACGCCTAGCAAGGGCGTGTAGCGGGGAGGCTCCTTTGCCTTAAGCCCCAAAGGGAGCGTGTAGCTGACGGAAAGGCCTCAACGCCTAGCAAGGGTCGTGTAGCGGCAGAGGCTTCCTTCCTAGCAAGCGGCGTGTAGCGGGGAGGCTCCTTCCTGAGGCAAGGCGTGTAGCGGGAGGCTCCTTCCTAGCAACGAGGTTGTAGCGGGGAGGCTCCTTGCCTAGCAAGGGCGTCTGTTCCTTTTTTGTTATCGGGGAGCCGCTCCTTCCTACTAAGGGCGTGTAGCGGGGGCTCCTGCCTAGCAACGGGCGATGTAGCCGGGCGCATGCTCCTATCCTAGCAAGGGCGTACTGTAGCGGCGGAGCGCCTCCTTCCTAGCAAGGGCGGTGTAGCGGGGAGGCTCCTTACCTAGCAAGGGCGTCGTAGCGGGCGAGGCCCTCCTTCCTAGCAAGGGGCGCTTGTAGCGCGGGAGGCTTCCTTCCCTAGCAAAGGGCCCGTGTAGCGCCGGGAGGCCTCCTTCCTTAGCAAGGCGCGTTTTTGCTAGCGCCGGGCGAGGCTCCTCTCCTAAAAAGCAAGTGCGTGTAGCGGGGAGGCTCCTTCCTAAGCAAGGGCGTGTCTATAGCGGGGAGGTCACTTTTCCTAGCAAGGGCGTGTCTGTAGCGGTGGAGCTCCTTCCTAGCAAGGGCCGTTGTAGCGGCCGGAGGCCTCCTTCTAGCAAGGGCGTGTAGCGGGGAGGCTCCTTCATATCCGCTCTCACCACCCAGTCGCGTCAGCGGCATCACCTCCCTCTCTTACTATCGCTCTCTCTCTCTCTCTCTCTCTCTCTCTCTCTTCTCTCCCCCCTCTCTCTCTCTCTCTCTCTCTCGGCTCTCTCTCTCTCTCTCTCTCTCTCTTTCTTTCTTCTCTCCTCTATCTCTCTATCTCTCTATCTATCTATCTTTTTTTTCCTTTCTCTCTCGCTCGCTCTCCCTCGCTCTCTCTCTCTCTCTCTCTCTCTCTCTCTCTCTCCCTCTCTCTCTCTTCTCCCCCTCCTTTGCTCTCCCTCTCTCTCTTTTCCTCTCGCTTTCTTTCTTTCTATCTACCTCTATCGCTCTCTTTCCTCGTACTCTTTATCCCCATCTCTCTACCTCTCTATCGCTCTTCCCCCCTCCCCTTCTCTTTCTCTTCCGCTCTCTCCCCCTTTCTCTATCTCTCTATCGCTCTTCCCCCCTCTCCACCTCTCTATCTTTCTTCCGCTCTTTCTCGTTCAGCGTTACTAGCTGTGAACAAGCCTGTCAGCACGTCAGTACACCAGGGGCTTTACGGTGACTTACTGCCAAAAAACACGCACACGGAAATAACGCTGCACTGGTCCGCCGGCGAAGTGCGAAAAAAACACGCAGACGTTTCCCGCGATGCCATCTACTGGGATGGTGGGTGGGGGGGGGGCATACGTAATGGGAGCTCATGACGGCAGTATGGGTCCGTGACGTCATACACACCCACGCACGCGAGGACAGTGGATCAATAGCAGAGGCAGGGATAGGAGAGGACTCGTAATTTTGGATCCATACATCGTGATAGCGCAAGTGTATCAACTACGGACGTGAATTGCTCGTTTGAGGCAAGAGTACAGATAGTAACGATAGAAAACGTGCATGCACTGATCGAATGCAATAATCAAGTCACGTTTCGTTGCATAACTGTCGTATTAGATTGCTATAAATCATGTTGTTGTTGTTGTTGTTGTTGTTGTTGTTGTTGTTGTTGTTGTTGATGATGTTGTAGCAGCAGTGTAATATAAGGTCTACTCAGCGGAAACTTTGCTCTTCATGAATAAACATGATCCCGTGACATCACGACAACAATGCGACACTTCTGCGGGCATCCACTATACCAATAATATTCACATAATTATTTTATTACATTCTCGTTGATGAGATCACCTTGATATTTCCGTAGATGGTTAGCTTGATTAGCTATACTACGGCTTGCCACTTACACTGACGAGATGTAACGTCACGGGGGTAGAGGGAGCAGGTGACGAGTCAGGTGACGACATATAACGTCAGCTATACACACCGACATCGGAGATCCTGTATACGCACGAATCGATTAGGTCTTATTTTTATATGTTTTCTTTTCTGTGGAGGGAGGAGATATTGTAGTAGTCGCTTTCTACCATGTAGCGAACTCACACACACACACACACATACACACACACGCACGTACACACACACACGCACGCACACACACACACGCACGTATGCACGCACACACGTACGCGCACACACAAACACACGCACGCGCACACACGTAGGCCTACACACACACACACACACACACACACACACAC